ACTGCAACCTATTTATTTGTAGTATTTTTTTTCTCATTAGACTAAACCCTAAACACGTACGTAAACTAACAATGAGGCGCGATACCGTATGTGAAAATTACACCGATAATGCATTTAGAGCGTTTGTAGACTTTGAAATATTTAATTTAGTTTAGTAAAAACAAAACAAGAGAATGGATCAACCGAGTGTCTTTAAAACCTTTTAACAGCGTGATCTACTTTCTTTGCTATTATTTACAATTTTATCTTTAGTTTTATATTATGTATTTATATTTAAAGAGATGTTTATCGTAGCTACGAAAATTATGGTACCATATATTTATAATTGTCTGTTATTTTACTATTAAATCCACTCTTTTAAACAAAATAAAAATAATTTTGTACGTATATAATACAAATGTCTAAAAGATCGGAATGAATATTCTCCAGTTTATAATTTCTAATATTAATCGGGTTGTCCATTTATTTCTGGTATATTTTTCCTAATTATACAATATTCCAAACACGTACACGAACTAACAAAGGCGAGGTGCAATAAGCTATGTGAAAATTACACCTAAAATGCATTTACTGCGTTTGGAGACTTGGGAATATTCAATTTCGTTTGGTAAAAACAAAACAAGAAAATGCAGTCGGGCTGGTCTGACCGTATGCTTTTAAAGGTAAACCTTTAAACAGGGAGATGTACTTTTTTCTTTAATCTTTACAATTTTAATTTATTTTATTAAAAATCTACTTCCAAAGACATGGTTATCGTAGCCACGATGATTATGTTAATATGTATTTATAAACATCTTTTATTATTTGATTTTTTAATCAATCTCTTCGAACAAAATAAATATACTTTAACATGTATATTACAAAAAATGTCCAATAGTTATTTTTTATACAAGACGATAAATGGTATCTTATTTTTGTGTACAAAACAATATTTTTTCCATAGCGAGTTACGTTTTAAAAAATATTCAGAAATTATTATTTCAAGGAATTTATTACAAGTAGAAAAAATATTGTGCTGGGTTGGCGTTGGTTTCTATGTAATTTTACAAATAAATAAAGCTGTCTCTTTAGTTGTTGAGTCAATATTTTTAATTCTCTCTTGTGTCGATTGCTGATTGAATTGGAGCCAGAAATGGCTCAAAACGAAATAAGCAAATTACCAACAGATATTCAGGCTGATACGACAATCGCCATATCCAAACTACTTCCATTTAAATCCCGAATAACTTATGAAAAGGAATACAAAAAGTTTCAAAAATGGAAGCAATTAAAAAACGTGCGAGAAGAAATAATGTTTTTAACATATCCTCGCTGTTAAAGTATCAGTTAATCTACCCTTGTAGTTAAAGTACTATTTTATCTACTATTTTTGATAGATATAAGACAATTTAAACAGTTGTTATGGAAAAAAAGGTCTGAATTAAAGACAGTTTTAATATTAATATATTAACAAAATAGTCTCTTATATGTTTGCTTCATCCACGGTACCATAGATGGAGCTAAGAAGGCTTAGGTAGGGTATATATAATAAATAAACAAAAATACGAGTAGCGGAAAAAGGGGCCAAAAAATAGTCTCTTGTTTATAATTTTTAATAGTAACCCAACTGGCTATTTATTTCTAGTATTTTTTTCCTAATTAGACTACATTCCGAACACGTACGCTAACCATCAAACGCCAGGCGCGATAAGCTATGTGAAAATTAGACCGAAAATGCATTTATAGCGTTTGGAGGGTTTGAAATATTTAATTTGGTTTAGTAAAACACAACAGTCAAACTAATCAGACCGTGTGCGTATAAAGGTAAACCTTTTTAACAGGGTAATTTGCTTTTTTCGCTAAGCGTTGCGATTTTTATTCTATTTTTTATAAATTTATTTTCAAAGACATCGTAACCGTAGCCACAAAAATTATGTAAATATTACGAATTTGTAAATATCCTTTATTATTTTATTTTTCCTTCGAACAAAATAAAATTACTTGTGACACTTATGTACTACAAATATATTATCGAGTATAACCAGTATAACATAATGATTGATGGCAATTCAATCAAAACACACAATTATAACCTTTTTAAGTAAAAAAAAATTACATGTATCCATTACAAAATTAATTAATTTCTCCCAACGTAAATCTGACTAGCATAGACACTTTTTGAAGTACTTTCTAAATTATAAACGTTTGTAAAAAATGCATGATACAACGAGTTGATAAATTAACAATTTTAAAATTAAAGATTTTTTATTTAAGCCGCACTTTTAATCGTCAGTTTTTTTTCATAAGTGTCACATTGACAGTTAATCAAGAGCTACGGAATATTTTTTATGTTACTTTTTATTCTATTTAAAGTCCAAACTAACGCTGTTATCAAATTTGCCATAAGTAAGTTTTTATGATAATGAGAAACATGATGCCGACTTTATATTAAGCAGTATCACAACCATTTGTTCCAAATATTTGTCACACATTTTATTGTCAATTAAACCATTCATTACACAATTCAATTAACTCCACTTTTTTTAAATTTAAGTGTAAATTAGAGAAATGTGGTAAAAAAAAACCTGTGGTATTTGGAAAAATGTTATAAATATAAAAAAAATTATTGGTAGTTTTTAGAGTGGTTTTGCACTAAATTTAAGAGTTTTCAGAGTTAATCGAATTGTGCAGTAAACGGCTCGATTATTTATTGTCAATTGAAAAAAATGTTTGAAAATAATACAACAATTAAATAATTTTTATAAACCATTAAGAGTTGTAGTTATATTAAACCGGGTGTTTCTCAAAAGTGGCTCACCCCTATATATAGGTATTTTTTTATTTTTTTAAAATAAGAAAACAAGATTTAGTACGTTAGTATGTGACATAAGTCAGGATTGATTGACTTATTCAATTGTTTTCGGTCACTTCCTATTTAACCGGAAATGACTACAACTTTTGCTTTTTGAATGACATCCTCGGTCTTTTTTTTAATTTATTTGATAGAACATGACCATAGACTTAAAATAAAATATAGACTACACTATTTACATCTCAACGCGGACAAACAACCTTTTTTGTACACATGTTTACTTCTGGGTACAGTCGACCGAGCCTTCCTCATCCAGCCTATGTTGTCACGTCTTTAATATTATCAATATTTTTTTTCTTGTTATACACATATATTGAGCCACATTCGTTTGAAACTATTGATATAACTAAAAATACGATTTGGGCATATTTTAACTGGCCAGGACAATACACGAAAAATATTAGACGATAAAATCTATTTTTTTCAAGACTCCTTGATTAAAAATTAGTGTTTTAACACAGCCATGACACTCTAGATTGATTTAAAATATGTTTTTAAGCGAAAATGCGAAAAGTTGACATATGATATGTCATTCTATTTAGAGTATCATTTTCTATCGAATAAAGTAAAAAACTACCAAAGGTGCCATTTAAAAATCAAAAGTTGTAGTCATTTCTGTTGAAACAGGAAGTGACCCAGAAAAAATTTGAATAAAACCAATCAATCCTAATTTATCTCATATACTAACATAACAAATCTGTTTTTTTACCAAAATAAAATAAAAAAGTTATAGGGATGAGTGACTTTTGAGAAACACCCAGTATATGATCATTTTTATCGATATGTTTAAGTTTTGATTGAGTCGAGAATTTCTATTATCTATTTTTAAGTACTCTGAACTGATACAAAATCATATTTATAAGAGAAAAAATGGTTAAACTTGTAATAATATAATTATTGATTATATGGTTCCAATAAATTTCAAGATACAACAATATTCTTTGCAGCACTGTGTGTAATATGCACCTTTACATGCAAATGCATTACTGTCCCAATATTAGTTCTACGAAAGCAAAATATAGTCACATATGTCGTCGAATGGCTTTATTGTATGTCCTGCATCCAATATTAAGTTTCTTGATATATTGTACTGTTTTGTTTACTTTGAATATCCATAAAGTCAATCAAGATTTTTCTCATGGAATAGTTTATTTTAGAAAACATAGCTTTTTACTGCAACTGTTATAACTTTTAATAGCTCAATAATTCAACGTAGGATAACTTTTGACAGCAACTATTAACAACACTAGTTATTTGAAACTTGATTGAAACAAAATAGAAATCAGCAGAATTAAGTATGCCGCAATGTTGAGTTAGGCCAAATCGTTTTAGATAATAATTCTCAAGTGTTCCTTCTAAAACACCCGAATATCTAGAGAATAATTAAAGTGTGCTAGACGTAATGACTAAAATAGAAGAATGTCTACCTCAATTTACCTAAATCGTCCCTTCACCTTCTCTAATTGGAGTATATTTCTCTGAAATTTTCAGTCTCATTAAATGTTTAGTCTGTTGAACTTTAACTTTATGTACTTGTGTTTACTCTATCGGCATGATTAAGTATAAATGATCTAATTAGGTAGAGTAGCAACCCGATTAAAAATAATTTCGATATTAATAGAAAACTGTTACTTTTATAGTATGTTATTCTATATTATTATTAATAGAATTTTTAATTATAAATAACAGTGTTTTGAACAATTTTTCAATGATCATTATTTGGATGTATATTTCAATAAAATATGTTTAATATATATGTATTTCCTTAAAAAAAGAATATACCCTTGTTGATTTTATTTAGCCTAGACGCTGAGATGCAATTTTTAGTTGATTATTTAGTTGCAAAAGTGAAAACAATGTGGTCTTATGGAGCTGATCATTTGATGGCATATGTGCGCAGCTTTATAAGAATATATATTGTTTTTACTTCTGCAACTAAATAATCGGCCAACTCGAACTTGTCATCGACACATGTCAACGCTTAGTCTTGTTAATCCTAAAAAGATATTTATGCAAATAATCTATACACGAGACGCATAATTGTCAGGTAAAAGGTTATGTGTAGACAGCCCTTTAGAGCTATTATATTTTTTACATAAATTATTTGGATTGTTTGTTCATTTTATTATCATGCATAATTTTGTTTCAGGAATGTTGTTTACAATTTGACATTTTCCAACCTCAATGAACAACAGAGGCTCATCTGGTTTTCTAACGAACACGATGCAAAGATGTGCGTCATGAAAGGAAAGGACGAGGTAACGTATATTTTTATTTTATTTTAACAGAATAATATTACTTTTTATTAGTATATTTCGTTTATTTATTATTAGTTTTAAATATTTTTGTGTTCTTTAATTTTATCAACAATCAAAATGATATTTTGTTTAAAAATCTTAATAATAAAACCCTTGAATAAAAAGATTAAGGAAGGAGCATAATGAAAAACTTATTTTTGACTTAACCAAAACATAACCAAATTATTTTTGACTTAAAAAAGCGAAAATGGAATGAAAAATATATATAATTAGTTAAATCTAAGTAAATTTCACATTTGATGGGTGTACATTGTTCCGTATCCATTTGTACCCTGTGTACCCATTTTGGTGTGTTTTATGGGATTTCTCGTTTATGAATAAAGACACAAAGATACGGTTTTCACATCACTATACTACTTTTTTATGAAACTAAAGATGCTACACACAGATTTGTCCTAGCCCTCTTAGTTCCTGAAATACAGGGCGAATGTGACTGAAGTGCATTTTCTGATTGTCAGGTTTTTCTTTCAGTCAATTTCAGTTATTTTTTTATAGAATTCACAATAATGTCATTATTAATTCAATTTCTGACACAGTGTCTTTCTAGACTTATTACCCCTAAACAAAACTATTGGTAGAATAAATAATTAATAACATAAAATGAACTCAGAAAAGCGCCACAAATCTGCAAAATTTCAAATCAAACTTAAATGTGTCAAATAAAACGTCAATGAGGGTTCATGATGTGGTTCATGATGTCGATGTAGGTTCTACTGCTTGAATAAAGGCTGGATACATGGCTAGCATTGGAGTATAATGCTAGCCATGTATTCAGCATGCATCAGCATTATACTACTCCCTCCTTAATTTTTATTAGAAGAATAAAACATTTCAGTTCAGACAGTTTTGCCAAATTAATTAATTGTAAATAATAATACCGTTTATTTTTGCATTGGTGAAATAAAAATTTATTCTCAAATGCATGACAAAAAATGACTTATCTGACATATATGGGGTGATTCACGTTTATGGAGAACCGGTGGTAGATTTTTTATTTAAAAATTGGATTTTTACATAAAGGCTCCATCTTTCTAAAATACTTTCAGCATTACAGTGTTGCCGCATCATTGGAAAAGTGGTAGCATCTTTCTTATTTTAAATAGAACACCCAGTATATTATTACACTTTTGGAAACTACTTTCATATCTCATAATTTTTATATTATACTAACATATACCTATCTTTAATAGTTTTTAAGATAAAAAATAAAACATGTGTAAAATTGACAAAAACATGATCGTGAATAAGCATTGGTAAAATCATGAATTAACCATTTTTAAAGTTGAAATTTGGGTTATATGTTAACGAAAGTCGATATATTCGATCTGTCTAAATAAATCAATTGCATATTACACAGATAGGGCAAAAATAATATTTATTTCCGTTTCTTATAGAATTACACAAATCTTTGTTATTTTAAATTCAACTTATAAATATTGTTCAAAAAATTAAAAGACTAATAAAATTTATCATGTTCCTATACCTAAACCTTCCGGTTTCTTAAGTAGAGCTATTTAAAAATTAATAATTCTATTATTATAGTTTCATTTCAAGAATGTCGTTACTATGACAATTTTAGAAATTTAGCACGTAAACTCTAATTGATACTTATAAAGTTTGAATATTTGTCATGACCATGAGTTTTTCTAAACAAAACAATTTTAATAGAATTATCTTTTAAATGGCTTCACTGAAGAAACCAGAAGGTTTAGGAATCGTAACATGATATATCGTTGAAAAGCAATTTTATTTGAGTTTTGATTTTTTAAATAATATTCATAGAGTTAAATTTAAAATAACACAGATTGACTAATTTTATAACAAATGGAAATAATTATTTTTTCTGACCTTCCTGTTTGATATCCATTCAGTTGATTTAGATAGATTAGATATGCTGACTTATAAATATAACCAAACCAAATTTAAGCTTTCAATATGCCGAATTTATGATTTAACCAATGCTTGTTCAATATAATGTTTTTGCCAATTTTACACATGTTTTATTTTTTATATCGAAAACTATCAGAGATAGGTATAGGTTAGTATAATATAAAAATTATGAGATATCAAAGTAGTTTTCAAAAATGAATAATATACCGGGTATTCCATTTAAACTTAAGAAGGTGTTACCACTTTTAGTATGAAGCGGCAAATAATTTAACGCTGAAAATAATTTAGACAGATGCAGAAGTTGCCTTTATGCAAAAATCCAAATTTTCAAAAAAATCCTCTCACCGGTTCTCCATAAACGTCTAACGTACCATCGCCGTGAATCACCCTGTATACAGGGTGTCCCAGAAATAAGTGCAAGTATTTTAACTGGTAGTGTAGTTCAACCCCAGAAACACGCCTAGGAGGTATTTTTCGCGAAAAATTTTTTTTTGAAAACTCGAAATTTTTTGAAAAATTTTTTTGGATTTTTTTTTTAGTTTTTAGTTAAAAAACATAATTTCTTGATAATATGGTAACATAGGTATTAGGTTAAATTTACGAGAAAGAAAATCCAGAAAAGATCCAGTGGTTCTCAAAATTTTAGCAAAAAATATTTTTTTTTTGGAAATTTTCAAAATAAAATAACTCCGTTATTTTGGACTTATTTGAAAAACGATAAAGACAAAATATGTTTCTTTTATCGAGATCTACCATCCCTTAAAATACTTGCACTTATTTCTGGGACACCCTGTATATATAAATTACCTCGAAAACCTATAGACCGATAAAAATGATCACCCCTACATAATACTGAATTCTTGTTAAAAATAACCGTTATGAAGGATCTTGACGTATACATAATCCCGTCCATAACTAACGGTCAAGGGTCTTAAGTTTATAAAGCACCGCAGACGCAATTATGACGATACTTTTCTTTATTTTGCAGGAGAACTGTCAAAATTACATCCGTATAATGGCCAAGTCCGCCCAGGGCCGTTTGTTACTGTGCGGTACCAACGCTTTCAAGCCTATCTGCCGGGAGTATAACGTCCTCAACAAGAATTACACCGTCGAAAAGGAGAAACACGGTCAAGCGGTGTGCCCCTATGATCCGCATCATAACTCGACGGCAATTTATGTGGGTAAGTGGCCGGGAAATGTTGCTTCACGAGCTTGGAGGTTTATTAATGTTCCATATTTTTTCCACTTTAATTTAGAGGTCATATATAAATGGCAAATATTAAGTATATTCAGTATATTTGAAGAGCACTCGGGAAAAACGATGAAAGTACCGGGTGTCCCACTAAGAATAGCTCTCGGCTGTATCTCGGAAAGTATTGGCCGTAGGGTTTAGGGAAAAAAATATTTGTAACTAAAGGGGGTATGAGAAATTGCTGGAAATTACTTTAAAGTTTGTAGAACGACCGCTAGGGGACGCAACTGCAACAAAAAATATGAAAATGGAGTTTTTACACAATTTTGCCTAGATAAGGTGTACTATAAGTAATAGCTTCACAATCTTCAGTAAATTTGAATATTTTTTGTTAGAGTCATTTTCCCCTATCTACCAAAATAAAGTGGTGGGGGAAGGTTAGATCTGTTTTTATTTAAATATTAATAACTCTGGACTGGATGATCGGAATCCAACAAGCGAGGGCTCGTTTAAAAGAGCGTTGCTTACTCTATATTGTACCATATAAACAATAATAATAAGCTTGTGAACGTAGACGCTAGGGGCGTTGTCTTACAATTTAACAAAGCATTGCGCGTTTTTCAAAATTAAATGCATAGTATATGTAATTTTAGCTGATAGTAAAGAGTAGTAAAAGTTTAAAAAGTCAGCGAAAACCGCATCTTGATATCTTCTTTCAAACCGAAGATATTAGCAAAATTATAATAAATACCAAAAAATAAGCCCTTAATTACCTACCTTATTTTTACAACACGGTATCAGTAGCCCTCTTAATTATGCCCATTCTAACAAAAAATAAGACAGAAACAGTTAGTTTATTTTAAAATCGACGAAATACCAGAATACCATAATAGCAGAGGTATTAATATCTAATAATTAAGATATTAATAACAGTGAACAAGAAACGATGATTCAGTGAAGTCATGGTAAGGCTTTGGAAAAAAGTTGCTTTTGACGTAATAGTATAAACGTCAAATTGTTATTAGATCAACATTTTGATAGTCTTATCAGCGTTTTTTATCTTTTAATTGCTTTTTCAAAATGCTTTTATTATTTGAAATAGTTGAAGTTGTTGGCATTTTGAAAAAGCAGTAAAAGATAAAAGCGCTGATAAGTTGATCTAATAACAATTTAACGTTTATACTATTACGTCAAAAGCAACTTTTTTCCAAAGCCTACCATGACTTCACTGAATCATCGTTTCTTGTTCACTGTTATTAATATCTTAATTATTAGATATTAATACCTCTGGTATTATAGTATTCTGGTATTTCATCGATTTTAAAATAAACTAACTGTTTCTATCTTATTTTTTGTTAGAATGCACATAATCAAGAGGGCTACTGATACCGTGTTGTAAAAATAAGATAATTAATGGCTTATTTTTTGTATTTATTATAATTTTGCCAATATCTTCGGTTTAAAAGAAGATATGAAGATGCGGTTTTTGCTGACTTTTTTAGCTTTTACTACTCTTTACTATCAGCTAAAATTACATATACTATTGCATTTAATTTTTTTGAAAAAACGCGCAATGTTTGTTAAGTTGGAAGACAACGCTCCCTAGCGTCTACGTTCAAAAGCTTTTTATTATTGTTTATATAGTACAATATAGAGTAAGAAACGCTCTTTTAAACGAGCCCTCGCTTGTTGAATTCCGATCATCCAGTCCAGAGTTATTAATATTTACATAAAGACAGACCTAACCTTCCCCCATCACTTTATTTTGGTAGATAGGGGAAAATGGCTTTAACAAAAATATTCAAAATTTACTGAAGATTATGAAGCTATTACTTATAGTACACCTTATCTAGGCAAAATTGTGTAAAAACTCCATTTTCTTATTTTTTATTGCAGTTGCGCCCCCTAGCGGTCGTTTTACAAACTTGAAAATAATTTGCAGCAAATTTCCATCGCCCCTTTAGTTATAAATATTTTTTTCCGCAGCCCCTGCGGCTAATACTTTCCGAGATACAGCCGAGAGCTATTTTTATTGGGACACCCTGTACATTTTTTGCTAATCTGATTTTAATGCATAATAATTTTTCATCTTAAAAAGCTACACCTTTTAATACCTAAGTAAACTTTCGACATGGTGGTCCGAATTGTATTCGGGAAACTTCGGCAGCATATTGTGCAGATAAAAATTAGTAAAAAAGTTCGTATTAATGTATGTCCTAAAATGCTTCATTTCGGAGATACGGTATACAGGGTATAGAATTTTCATTTTTATTTACTTTTTTAATTAATTTCTGAATTTACGTCAATATTTGGATAAAAATTGCTATCTGGGTGTTTTTTTTGACATGATAAATTTGATTTCAACGTTAATATGACTCCTACTTGTAGGGGGCGCCACCTACATGTTTTTAACTGATTTGAAGAGTACATTTCCGTGATTTTCTGCGTAAAAAAATGTCGCCTTGTAAAATCGGCTTATGAGGCTAAAGCACCGCGTTTTTTTCAAGCATAATTGGAATGGAAATAGTCAATGGAGTCATGAAACTTTTTACGTGAAGTGGAAGGGAAATGTTTTTTTCTCACTAGTGTAATACGGGTACAGAGAAAATTTATTACCGCAGCCCGACTATACTTAACAAGCCGTGAACAACCATTTGGCAACGCCGCTACCGGCAAGAGATTCAGATCTGTTTCTAGCGAGCGCGAATGCACGACAGACGGACTACCGTGGCGCGTATTTATGGGAATTAATTGGGTTTTGAATTTACCCTCAAGGAAACTAAAAAATAATGCTTAAATTGCTCACTTCGATCTTGCATTTCTTTGGTTCTTCCAGCAGGAATTTTTCGGGCAACAGGGACTGTTTTTGACGAGTAATGTGGCAAATTTGAAAAGATACTAGGCACTGTATTTAACTTTAGTCTAGTTTTAGTAGGTACCTTTTGCATTGATCCATCTGGCGAGCAATAATCCTCGTGCCTAATAATGTCACTTTCTACAAAATGCTTAGCACAAACTACAGAATATTTTGAGGGTAACCATGCCTCCCTAGGAATATTCCGAAGCCATTGGGTTTTAAGGTTTTCATCCTTTGGAAAGGTCAAAACAGATATCGCTGGTTCTCCTGCATCAAGACAAGTTTTATAATTGGATTTGCACCCAGGCACACAACAAGGATTTGGCCATTGCCTGGAAACTTATATGGTGAAATTTGATAAAAATAATTTGGTACTCACTAAAAACACATGGTATGTCGCTAGTGGTGGGAAGAATTTTTTTTAGAGGTTACTAGTTATTTGGTTGCCTGTGATAATACATGGCAGGGTGTTTCTAATTAATCTAAAAATAAAAATTTTAGAAACTTTTTTTTTTTTTTTTTTTAAGTATATTTATTTTTCTCGGCAGCCGTTTGATGAACAAGAGAAAAAACTCAAAGAGATCCAATTTTATTGAAAGGATGGCCAGTCAAAGAAAAATATAATTTTCTTTTAAAAAACGGTAGTGTACCATTTATGTTGAGCAAAATATCGATTTTTAAAATTTTTAACACCCTGTAGATCAGAAGGAAATTACTTTAAGACCTAATGGTTATACCATTATGATCGAAAGAGTCTGGGAAAGGTCAGTTGGCTATGAAGTAAGGTCACTGTATCATTTTATATATGGAATTATATGGAAAATGTCATCGATGTTCATTTTCAAACCAACTGGACCTAATTTTCGATCATGCGAGATTTCTCAAAATTGTTTTCAATTGAAATTAATTAATATAGAAATATATACCTCCTCCTTCTACTGCAATGGGTATAATATATTCCCTTGGAGATTTCTTGATGGGATCGCCTGTAGAGGTCGTCGTTTCCGAATCAGATTCTTGAGTGGATTGTCTTGACAGACTATTTGACCTACAGAATTTCAAAAATGTATTTAGTTAAACAGTGTTAGAATTTTTTTTTCTTCATTTCCATTCTTTTTTTTCTTCAAAAGCTGCAAATTTGAAAACTAAAGTATCTAATAATATTTCAGTGTTCAAATTTTTTATTTGAGTATTTGAGTTGCTCTAAACAGCTCAAACAATACAAAAACCAAATGTATATGACAATAAAAATATTGTTATCCAATTTTATATAATAAATAATAATTTTTTTTTATATTCTTTTCTTTGACCTCTCAATATATATTTTATTTAATTTTTCTGATCAGAATGAAAATGATAAAATTGTAATAAGTAAACAATCTACGTTCAAGTAATAAATTTTGATAAAGACCCTACCAGGTCGAAACGTCAATGAAATTTTTAATATAAAAAAAACCGTTTTTCTCATTTTTACCTGACCTAAAGCCAAGAAAAAATTAAATAAAATAATAAATAATAATATTATATAAGGATTCTTGCCACTTAACTGCTGATATAGAAATTTAATTCTACGCTGTTTTTGTCATAATGTGGATCAACCTGCTCTCAGTACCGGTTTCGGAGCCCTACTGCATCATCAGGTGAGCTTGGGCAGATCCACAAAATGACAACCACAGCGCAGAGATAGTTAATTCCGACTTGTCGGAAAGTGTCGGTTAGATATTAAAGATAGTTGCGCCTCGGTGATACGAAAGTACTACCATTGCACGCAGGCCGCTATCTCCCGTTCGGGACTTAATATCTAACCCACACTTTCTGACAAGTCGGAATTAACTATCTATGCGCTGTGGTTGTCATTTTGTGGATCTGCCCAAGCTCACCTGATGGAGTAGGGCTCCGAAACCGGTAGTGAGAGCAGATTGATCCACATTATGACAAACACAGTGTAGAATTAAATTTCTATATCAGCAGTTAAGTGGCAAGAATCCTTATATAATTTTATTATATACCTATGTTTTTATAAATAATAATTATTGTTCATTTAAATTGAAGAAAAAAAAATTGGTTTTATGCAACAGACTGGAATTACAGTAACATTGTGAATCTGTGAATCTCAGAAAAAGGTATCAAAAATTGTTACTTATACAACATGCGATTGATTTCAGACAAGAGAACTGAAATACCATACGATCGAAAAAAAAACGGTGTCAAAGACGGCTGGGAAACGACAATCGATGATAATTTTGGCGAGGTCGAGCCTTAGATGCCATTACTTGGTCCATACTCTTCTTTATTTGTTAATGGAGCTTACTGCCAGAGAATAACCTCTAGAGACTGACCTCGCCAAAACGATCATCGATTGTCATTCCACAGCCGTCTTTGACGCCGTTTTTTTTTTCGATCATACGGTACAATGAAATAATTTTTCGCGTAATCAATTAAGACAGACATCTGGTTAATAGTAAAATCTACTAAACTAAAAAGTTTAATTTATACATTGTAATAAGATTTAGATTTGTTTGGTAAAATTACTAGATATATTTAGATTACCATTTAACATTTATACTTTGTGTGTTTCTGTTATATTTTACCTTTGAGAAATATTTGATCTTTGAGCCTGGAAAGGTCTGGATATCGGAGGTTTTGCAGGAGGAGACTGTACCGATTCCTTATTTTCTTCCTTCTTCTCAAACGCGATTGGTATAATTCGTTCCTTGGAAGATCTGGTATCTTGATTTTCGTTCGCTCTGAAAAAATACATGTTTTATTCAAAAATCATATAAAATAGACATGATTTGAGGGAGAAATGTATACCTAAAATCGATAGTAGGTGTGGGAGATCCTACAGGAACGACAACCTCGCTTTTTACTTGAGGTGGAGCTTCGACGTTGTGAGAAGATTCAGTACGGAATTCCATTTGAGCGGGTTTGGGAGATGGATAGTTTAGTTGAATTTGAGCTTTTGTTGTTTTTCTGTAAAAGAAAAAACAGAATTTTATGAGTACCTATAGACTACTGTCGAATTGAAACAAACACCTGTAATTTCATGTAAAAAATCTATTAAAATAGCATATAATTTGTAATTTTGATTCAGAGGACTAAAAATTCAAATAAAATATGTTAAAAAATACAAACCTTCTAGGTAAGGTAGCGCTTTTTAGTGTAATCTCTGCATTACTGACTTGTGGCTCGTCTATACTGGGTGGAGTAGGTTCTTCTTTCACCTTAAACAAAATAAATAACAATAAATTTAAAAGAAATATTTTAAAACTCTCTCTTTACGTACCTGTTTAGCTTCAGTGGTAACTAATTTATTTTCATAACACGGTCTGATAAAAGGCTTCGGACTGACGTTTTGAATGGGTGGACTTAGAGGAGCAACAGTTCCGATATTTCCAGACGCCGATCTACCACTGGCCTAAGAACAAACAAATATTTAGCTATTTGTCGTTATAGAATATGTCCATGAGCATTAAAATAAGTAGAATAACGATTGAGGTGATTTTAGTGTTTGAGCACAGAATAACCTTAGCTATACAAAAGCGACAGTATTTTGCGACAGTAGTTTTGTAGTGTGTCCTGAATTTTTTGACCTTCATGCATAGATAAAGGAAATAAATTCAGATTGGAAAGCCCGTCAAAATATATAAAGTCAGAATCTTCAAAAAATACAAAATCTTTCAAAATTTAAACCGCCCTCATTGAAAAAATACCGAAAAGTGCTTAAAGCGTACATTATCAAAGTAATTATTGCTATCTTGTGAGTTTAATTTAAAGTTTACTTACTCAAATCCGTGATAATTGTGAAAAAGTGGCATTAAAAACTAAAAAACTGTGTTGTGAACTGTGAACTGCAAAAACCATCGTGAATCGTGGCATAACATCGGTTTCCAATGTTCATAGGTATTTTACATACATGTCCTTATATAAAATAAAGTTTTTTGTATGCAACACACTGTATTTTATTTATAAAATTAAAAGAAAATAATAATAAATTTGAATAAATAATATTTGGCGACATAATTCCGGAAAAAGCCGAATTGACCCGAAATCCTCAAAAGGTTTGGGTCGCGACCGTTGCAAGAATAGCGCCAAATAGTGTTAACATTGTTCTTATGGGCAATTTCCCATCTAAACTTGTTTCATTTACTAATGCCTTCATGTCGCGTATTTTGGCAATTAAACTCGCATAATGAAAGATAAAAAAGTGCCTGATAATATTGTGAAATACCAGACATACTAACACCAGGAGGCACTAGACAAGAAGATCTTGTTGAATAATAATGGGCCTTAGCCTTTTAAAGAAATAAAAAAAATATTTTGTATACTTAGTAGTTAAAAATGCTTGGAAGACGTCGATGTCTCCATACTTTGCTCCATACCTTCTGGGAAGAGGAGAATTATGAAGTTGTGCGTTTAGATGTAAAAAATCATATATTCTCCTGGAGAATGTCTACGGAGAATTTCTCCATAAGAATTTATAGTTTATTTTGTGTTCAATGTTACTTTGTATTTCGTAGAAAATACACTTTTGTTGAAAAAAAATTGTCTTTTTTTCTGATGTTGTTTAACTTATACAAATATAATATCACTTCATACTTCTATGATAAGAATTTGGCTTGATTTTTGTTTAAAGTCTAAATTGTTTATGTTTTACTATATTTTTGTAGGTAGTTTTAACGTAGTTTTGTGTAGTTTTTGAAGGTAGTTTTAAAATTTTAAAACGTAGTTAATAACAAAAACTACGCGTAGTCTTTGGCGTAGTTTTGCTTCATAAACTACTTAACAACCCTGCCTAAGAAGCATAATGGGAAGACCAGAGAGAGAAACTAATAACTAAAGTGAGAGGGCTTGTGGAATGGGGCATTTCGTAGATAAGTTTATTTTGTCACCGCGCTTCCCAGACGCGCATAGCGTTTAGGCGGTCAAAAGGAAGTTTTCAACTTTGCAAGTTAAACATTTGACAGGATTAATTAGATTGCCAGTAGCTTTTTTCTATTTCTTAGCTCTAGAAGGAGATATCTAAAATCTGTTGATAATCGGAGTAATAAATTGTTTTTTGACTGAATGTGCCTGTTCTTTTAGCTTGTCAGAAGAAGATTATTGTCATTATTGATTATTTCAGGTTCCACGTTATTCGGCGTTTTTGTAATTTTTTGTTTTGTGGTTGAGATCCAGACAAAACGTTTCCTTTAAAAGTTTTTAAGGTAATTATTTTAATATACCTAATAGTAATAGTAAGTGCACATAATAATCGTACATTGCTAATTTACATAAAAGCAACCTGTAGGATAAATCCGATTGTAAAAGTAAAACATCACATTCTTTTCTGATACCTATGGAACGACTAGCTATTATAGCTGGTATTATTACCAGTAATACAAATTATTTTCTTCAACTGATAGGTTCTTGTTATAGAATAAAGACTATCGAAAACATTGAATACCTACGGGATACCTACTGATACTCTGTGCGAGCTCCCAACCGTGCTTCCCTGTTCACTCCCAACCAAGTTAGATAAAAAGATATTGAAGATTGCAGCCTTGAGTTGGAGTATGGCAGGAGTACGGAGTTAAATAAATTCTTATGTTCCTACACAGTATTTTATTTATAGGTTTTAATGCTTTAAAGTCTAATAATAAATTTTCGTTGTCAAGAAAATAATCTAAAAAAACTACGAAGATTTCTTATTATAAACTTGAAAAATTAAGATTCGGTTCAAATATACAAATTTTAAATTTTTGGCGCCAGCATATAGGTATGAATGCAACCTACTATATCGATAATGCGCTCATAGTTTGGGTTAGACGCCAAAGGCCGCGCCACTAACACAGTCTTTAACGTTGATCGGTCTCACACAAAATTAACGTTGATCGGTCTCTCCCACTTTAATTATTAGTGTTCTCTCTGGGGAAGACTAGAAGAGACAGAATTAGAAACACAAATATCAGACAACAATGTGGAATACAGGACGTAGTAAAATGGGGTAGACAAAGAAAAAGACAACGGTTCGCACACGTAAAACGCCTGAAAGAAAACGGGCTACCACGCATAAATCTCGAAGAAAAACCCGTGGGTAATAGACAGCCGGAAAGACTTCCAAAAAGATGGAAAGACAGTTGGCAGTCCATCAACTCCTACAGAGACAAACTTAAAACTAACAGATCGACTAGATCTCAAATAAGTAGAAGAAAAAGAATAAGAAATTCGCTTGTACGTTGAAAAATATAGAATTTTATGAAAAAAGTTTTAAAATACACTGAGAAAAATGATTTGGTTTATTGAGGTTTTAATTTAAAATCCGTCTTTAATCAAAATTACATATAGCATAAAAATATGACAAATTCACTTAAAATTTGGTAGCCGAAAAAAAATCGCCCATATCGTTTCAGTATGGTTTAGTAAGTAATTCTGTGAGATTTTAGTAAAATATCACTGTTATAAATTTTCAATTCGTTGTCGTTATTCTACTTATGTTGTAATGCCGATGAACCCTGACGATGATAAATGAAAAACGACACATTATTAATAACGAGACACAAGAAAAAAGAGAGAAAAAGTTATTTACTCCAAATGGTACTGGGGGTTTCCGCATCATACACGGTCTAGATTTACTCTTTCTAGTACCCTCCTTATCTAACGCGCTCGATATGATACTAACTGCATTTTTCACCTTCTCTTTTCTGTCGTCGTGTTCAGTCTTCGCGTCTTGCCTGCTGGCTTCGGGCTCCGCCTTGGTAGGTTCTGAAAATAAAGTACTATTAGTCATAATAATTAATAAAGTCAGTAATAACCAAACGCCAACGGAAAATTGGACAATATTAGTAACAATCCTATAAAATTTATTCCATTGCTATTCGTTTTTAAGATAAAAAATAAAAACATTATTATTCCGGAATCTTTTTATTGCAATATGTCCCTAATGGTCGACTTTTGATACAAAGTCTTTATATAACAAAGTATTTTTTGGGTTCCGTAGCCAAAGGGTAAAAACGGGAACCCTATTACTAAGACTTCACTGTCCGTCCGTCCATCTGTCACAAAGGTCTATCTTATGAACCGTTATAGCTAGACAGTTGAATTTTTTACAGATAATGTATCTATGTTGCCGCTATAAGAACAAATACTAAAAACAGAATTAAATAAATGTTTATAAATAAAAAAGTACTTTTAATAAACATTATCTTTTAAGTAAGAATTTTATATAGAATCTTTCAAATCCTCGGTGGCCGCTTGGTTAAAGCGTTAGGACTTTACGCTGGTATATTAACTAATATAGTGTAGTTTTAGTGGTTTTATAAATTAGTGAAGTCTAGTATCGTATGTTTAAACACAAGGATAAATTAGTGTAGTGTAGTATCGTGTGTTTAAACACAAGGATCAACGGAATTTGTAAAAATGCCAACAGAACTGGAATAAAGCTTAAATATTTTAGAAGTTAATCAATTTCTAACCTGGTATTTCAGGTTTTCCACCAATTTTACTCTTCACTTCCGCTTTCTTTGCGTCCTGCCCTTTAGTGGCTTCTTTTTCTACCGTTTGTTCTTCTTCGGACTTCTGTTTGTCGATCAGCGTCTTCTTGGGAGCTGCAGAAGTCTTAACTTTTGGCGGAACTATCGAAGTAAGACTGGCTTTACGTTCGAATTCCTTCTTGAAACCGTCCACTGAAACACCTAAAATATCAAAGAGTGGATGTTTTAAAAATGGATAATAATTAATTGTGTTAGATTTGGAAAAATATTTTTAGGTGGTTAAAAATATACTGATTGTTAAAACCTCAGAACTATTAAATAAATGAACGCACAGGGTTAGTCACCTGTACAACACCCTGTACATCTGAAAAATGTGCTGTAATTAAATTTACAACAATTTACTTTACAAAATACCCAAGTTACGATTTATTGTTAGAAAAAATGCTTAAAAATTACCCACAAAAAATTTAATAAATTCGTTTAATGATAGACCAATCTACATAATTTTGTTTTTACTTATAAAACTACAATACGATCGAGAAAAAAAACGGCGTCAGAGTTCGCTTGATTTATAGTTATTACTTAAACAAATAATCAAGGTATATGCGATGCCAATTAAACTTTTAGTTGCGTAATAGAGGCCGCGATTTTTAAATTCATTGTTGCCAACCATGGACATATTCGGCGCTGGACTGACTAACTGGATTTAAATTTCCCGCTGGGGATTAAGGTGGTAGCTCTGCTGTAAAACATGTCAAGTTGCCGCATTTATTTATTTATTTCCTGACATAGTCATTCGTTTTGACACTTTAATTTTGTATTACGAGTTTTTGGTTTAAATGAATTGTTTTGTGATACTTTAAGCTTAAAAAATTTTACTAGCAGACCTTGCAGTCGAACATTGTACATTTTAGAACCTCTTTTAGTGCGAAGTGTACAAAATAGCTTAATAGGCGTTGCAAAAAACTCATCGCAACCTTATATTTTGAACGGGAAAGCGGTAGTAATGGCCCTTTATGTCCCTTAAGTGCTGTTAAGGAGGTGAGTTTTGTTGATGTAAATAATAACTGTTTATATATATTTATAACTAATTTATTTTTGTTCGCTAAAATATTTTGATTAAAAGAAAATATGTAAAATTGGGCAACGCTGTGCTTGTCACGCTTAATAACGCCACTAAAAGTTAAATTGGTATGAACTGTATGTATATCTCTGTGTAACTTATAAAATCTTTTATGTTAAAAATGCTGAAAGGCCTATTATGAAAACTAAAACCAGAATGAAAAATAAGTAGAAAATATGAAAGTGATTAGCATCATTTAGAGATAGCAAAGCAACATTTTTTTGGCAGAGCATTAAGTAATTTGGATTTATAGATTCATATAATGCCGCAACCGCACATGCGGCATTTGGCGATCTCCGATCGGGGCTTCGCCGATTTCCTATGTGTGTGGATGGGGAAGTTGGAGTTCGGCGACTCGATCGGCGAAGAGAACGAGCGCTCGTCTCTATGTCGTTGCTATCAGAGCCCGCATGTGTGGATGGAAAGGCGAAGTCCGATCACGAGCGCTTGGTAGTTGACGAGCGCTCGGAGTTCGCTAAATGCCTCATGTGCGGTTGCGGCTAGGGAATGCAATCTCGCACCAAAATCTTAATCCCGCAAACCCGCGGGATGAAAGTAATAAATCTCGCGGATCCGCAAAATTACGGGATTGTAAACAATAAATGCTCTTCTTTTCTCTCTCCGATTTTGGGATGCGGTTTGGAACAGGTTTTAGACGCATCTATTGTGATTAAGATGCTATGTGGTTTTCGAAAATATATTTAGCGAATTCTCGTATACAGGGTGTTTTATAATAGTGTACAAATTTGGTTAAGAATCTTCTTTACCGAAAATTTACAATTTTTAAAAAATCAAAATTTTAACTATGTACGACTAATCTGTATTGAAATTAGAAAAAAAACAATTTGGTGTTTTTTTTAATTTTTTTGTTTTAAGGAAAATACGACTTTTTTCGAAATATATGCATTTATAGTCATACATTTGGTCCTAAATGGTACAAAAGCATTGTACATTTTGCATAGGCCCACAATATATTGATATAGCGTGTATCTTAAACTATCTGTACAGAAATTTGGACCGATGTATAGAGGGTGTTCAAAAAATATATTTAATATTAAATAAACTTAAATGTTATTATAATTTATCTACTTATTTTATAAATAAAAAGATTATTCTGATGTTGAAGTTTGGTTTTAACTTGTGTTAGTTATCGGCTTTCAGATACACTCTATATCAATAATTTTTTGGCATATGCAGAATGTACAAAGCTTTTTGTACCATTTAGGACCATCGTATAAAAAACGTCGTATTTTCCTTAAAACAACTTGGTAAAAATTTCGATTTTTTAAAAATTGTAAATTTGCGGTAAAAAAGATTCTTAACCAAATTTTCACTCTTATAAAACACCGTGTATACGAGAATTTGATAAATATATTTTCATATTTTCGAAAACCACATAGTATCTTAATCACAATAGATGCATCTAAAACCTGGTCCAAACCGCATCCCAAAATCTTTTTTAGTTTAAGAGATATTCAACTTTAAATTTACCCTAAAATTTTGCTTGTCCCGATAATTATTATGTCCGGCAGTTTATTTGACGTAATTGTCCACAAGTACTAGTTAAACGCTTTTCTTCACTTAGGCACGCCAGAAAGAAATCTAACAATTAACCTGTTTGTTTCACTTATTTCTAATGGCCAAGCCGTAAGGGGAATCCCCTGGTGTCGATCCCGCAACTTTGATCCCGCGGAATCAGAGGGATCCTACATTTGTGGGATCCAGCATTTGCGAGATTGCATTCCCTAGTTGCGGCATAAGATGAAGTTCAGTTTCATTTTTTTTTTATTTTTCTCTAAAACTGAATAGAAATTTAGAAATAGATGAAAAAAATGTTACTAGAATAAATAACTTAAAATAAAAAAAAAATAAGCTGTGAACTAAACTTCAACTTGGGAATTTATTTATAAATCCTGTGTTTAAATTCATGAATGAAAAAATTATCGCTGGATGAATTAAAGCAATAAAAACACAGGTCTCTTCTCTACGTCACATACCTTGTTGTGTAACCATGCTGTCTATAAAATAAAAAAAAAAGGAAAGTCAAAAGAAAAGAACAATTTTCGACACATCCAAGATTAATAGTCTTATTTTTAAAATAAAATATAAAATGTTAGTTAAGTGTATATTGTATAATAGTCAATTATTGCTAAAAAACTTTTTTCTATACCTGGTATTAATATTTTCTTTGGCTTTTCTATTGGTGCTGGTTTGCTTTCTGTTGGACTGATCAAATTCTGGAATTTCTCCGCAGCTTCAAAAATTCTAGATTTTCTCCTTTCCACTGGCTTTTCCTCAGACTTCTGTTGCTTCAAAGCGGGTTTTTCTTCTTTGGGCGTGGCTGTTCCGTTTTCTTTAACTTCCTCTTGTTTCTTTTCAGGTTTTGTAGTTTCTTTCTCAGTTTCCTCTACTTTTGCTTTGGTCTCGTTTTCGTTTTTGTCCGTCAAAACTTTCTTCTTGACAATCTTTTTCTTTGCTGTAGGTTTTTCTTCGGTTTTCTTGGTAAGTTCTTGTTGTTCCTTGGGCGGGGTTGGTTTTTGGAGCTTATTCTCTTTATCAATGTTGTTCGCGATGTTTTCCTGACTGGGTATCTCGTTAATACCTGAATCAATAAAATCTATTGTTAATCATTTATTTACAGGGTTGGTAACTTATTGTTCTGCGAAAGCTACTAAAGTTTTGATAAGTGGATAATTAATATCAGAGATGAACATGTAAAAAACTAGCTTTTTGCGTGGAAAAAACATTTTACGAAAAGAAAAACAAAACAGTTTTTACGAATAAGTAAAGCCCCTTTAAAAACAAATTCTCTTAATATCTATAGAAAAATTTAATATATTTCATTGTTATTTTTGTTTTGTTTTGTTTAGAAATCAAAATTAACGTCAAATCAATTGAAATTATAGGTTGGGAACAAAGAGCAGTGTAATTTTATTACTCTTTTTTACATTTTTTACCTGTATTTTATATCAAAACGTAAAGAAACTTCAAGATATGAAAGACGCTTAAATACCCAACCCTGGTTAATATACTCTGTGTTTTTTTTTCTCAGTATTAAGGAAGAAGCATATCAAAAGTTTAAATTGACCGCGACGGGGTCCTCGAATGGTAGACTTAAATTCCGTTTATCAGTGCCGTTCTAATTTTATTCAAAACGTGTAAAAATATGATGTAGCGTAGACGCCCGGTAGACTCAATAATTTGTTGTTTTATTTTACGTTGTCAATAAATGTTCCTAGTTATTAAAATTGTTATAAAAATATACAAATCTAATAAAAATAGATAAGTTATATTAATTATTTATTAATACAAACATCCGATTCGCTACTGAAGCAGGTAAACCAAATTGACGAATCTAAATTCTTTGACATCTAATCTTTGACAAGTAGTAAATAAAAGCAAAAATGCAAGAAAAAATATATAATTAGTTAATTTTAACTGAATTTCATAAATGATCGGTTTACTACACGTATCTATATTATAGTCTGTCCAACGAGAAGATCCTTGACAGTGAGAGATGTTGCTGTCATTTTAATTTCAAAGTAGTTTATTTTATTTCACTAAGAAATAAGTTGGTACAACTGGAACGCATTGCAGGATATATTTAAAATTTGATTGACAAGATGACAAGTGATTACTTCAAAATATTGTGAAAAAAAACTGTATAAAACTGAAAAAATGTAATCGAGTTATTTTATTTAATAAAAACGGTATGTGTTAATACAAAACAAAGAAGAACAGACACTACATACCAAAAATATAAAAAAGAACTATTATTTACTTTAAAGCTTTATGAAACTACCCGCATTTTATGATTATATTTATCAATATAACATGTACAAATACAAATTTGTAATATTCACAGAATAAATAAAACAACATAGGTAAAATAAAACAAACTATTTTTATTAATAAGCACCTACCAAATTTTATACCTTAAAGGTTGATTAATTAACTTTAATCTTAATTTTAAACCAGTGCCTTTTGATATTATTTTCTGCAGTACTAAAATCCATTATTTACCTATATTGTGATGTCGATATTTTACAACTACTCCAATAAGTTTTTTAGTATGTGTTTAATTTGATCCTTCTACCATATACGGAGATGCACTTATCTACGTCGAAATGGTATACAAACTTTATCGATAGCAACTTCATTGGTGTAAAAGACTTTCTGTCTGGGCAGCGAGTATAAACCATAAACTGTGCAGTACAGTTAATTTCCTCGATTTTCCTCCACTTGACTTCAAAGACACAAAACACACACGTAATAATACGAATCAACATGCATCATCTCCCAAAACGCAGAATTTGACAAAGTTGACACAAAATTCTAACCTATAATTTGTAAGACTTTGACAAGCGTCCAAAATCTAAAGGCGAGTTCAAGGCGAGTTCATACGCATCGGCGTCCGTTTGTCGTTCATCGTTCCGTCATACCAATAAATTGAAATACGATCTGTCATTTTAAATAAACCAATAAAACTGGTTAAAAACAACAAGACACGACGCATGACGGATTTATATTTAAACCCATCCATAGATAACTTAAAAATTATTAGAAACTTTTTTTAGTAAAATAAATAGATTGGTATGGGACGTCATCTGCTTTTCTTCTGTCATCGTCTGTCGAAATCTTACCTGAGAAAAAAAACAGAGTATATATAGTCACTTACTAGCGAAAAGTTATTCCATTATTTCCCTCGATTTTTGACCGAAATCTACCGCACGCTACACAACCAACTATTTTAGTCTTTTTCAATAAACCACAATAGTGTCATTGTTAATTTAAGTTATGCTACAATTCCCTTCTAGATTTACTACCTTTAAACAACTATCAGTAGTAGAACAAATAATAAATAAAATAAGTAAAGACTGACAAATCCACAAAATGTCAAATCAAATTCAAATGTGTCAAATAAATCGTCAAACAGAACTGTCAAGGACCCTCACACTAGGGCCCTCTATCCGTCGACCATGAATGAATACATTGCTAGCATTATACTCCTTCTTTAATCATTTCTTTAATCTTTTTATTCAAAGTTTATAATAATATGATTTGAAATTCTTCTGATTTCGGAAGTCTCACAAAAGATCGATTGACAATTAAAAAAACATAAAAAGTGGATGATATGATTACTGTAGACTGAATAAGTTTAGCCAAATTTGAAAATAAAATCAAATATTATTCGAAATATATTTACCTTCCAGTGTTTTACTTCCCGCGATGGTTGATTGTGTCTTTTTAACCTTGGAAGCAGGTTGTTTCTTGTTCTCTTTCTCTTTGATTTCTTCCATGATTTCTTGACAAGCAGCTCCTTTAAGAGTACAAGAATTCATTGATAAAAATAATTCAAATAAAGAAATCAATAGTTGCAAAAATTATAATCACCGACAATTTGAAATTTAAAAAAACAGAAACAATTTATTATAACCTAAATTTTACCTTCCACAAGTGGCTCAACATCCATCTCTTTAGAAATCGTTTGTGTGAGAGATTTATTAAGAGGCAAGGCTTCTGACATGCTGGCATCATCTTCTTGAGGCTCGTTCTCATGAATTATTCCATGAACCTTAATAAATACAAAAAATAACACTTAAAACAGTTATACCGGGTGTTGCGTCGTCGAGGCGGGACATAGAAATCCCATGTAAATTTTAATGGGGTCAATTATTGGCTTCCCTAATTATTTTAGAGAATAATTATTCTATTAGGTTTATTGAAGAGCACCCACATTCAAAAGAATAACTTAGATATTTTTGATTAGCTCGTTTGCGAGTTATCGCCGATTTCTTTTAAATATTTCTCTGTGTCCTAATATTTGCCCATGAGCACCCAGTCAAGGTAAAAGATAACTGTCAAACGAAGTTGTCATTTCAGAAATTTATCTAATCTATTTAGTACTTTATTATTATTATTAAAACTCATACCTACATCGAAAATATTATACATGAATTACACTACCGAAGAAAAGTATTGATGATTAAATGGTATTATCAGGAAATAGTTATCAAAAGTTGTCGGACATGTTTGCTGCTCTGTATCCGATAGACCGATACCTGGAAACTCTACAATCGAAAGGAATATCCAGAGATTTGAGACCAAAGGTACCTTAGTAAATAACTGCAGATGTGAAGCAAGCCAGGAACAAAGAGAAGATGCAGAAATGATACCGACTTGGTATTAATTAGTAGTAAGTTTATTGTGCGTGGAAGACAACGATGGAAAGATCAGCACAAGAAAACTTGAGAATGAAATAGGAACAGATCACACTACAGCGTTTCGAATTTTGAAACGACATAAATACTATTCCTTCAAATATGAAAAGCACCCAGAGCTAAGAGATGGGGACGAAATACAGCGGCAGGCGTTTTGTTTTGATATTATGAAAAGAGCAAACACGGATAGGGAATTTTTAAAAATCATGTTTTACTGACGAATGGTCGTTTACCTTAAATAATGAACCCAATGTTCAAAATTATCGATATTGGAACAAAGAAAACCAACACAGGTTTGTCGATACAAGGACGCATTATCCACAGAAAGTAAATGTTTGGGCAGGGATATTCGGGCACTATATTATCGGGCCATTATTTCTTAATATGATGCCGCTAGGGAAAATCAGGAAGTTTAGTACCAAATGGATGGCTGCCCAGCACATAGTACCCTGGCTGTTCGAGAATATTTAGACAATAGTTTTAACGGAAACGTTATTGGCCTAAATCATACAGTAAATTGGCCAGCAAAGGTCTCCTGATATTTCGCCAAATGATTTCTTTCTCTGGGGCCATTTAAAAACAGGATATATATACAAGGATAAAATATACCCAAATCTAGACGAGTTAAAAATGCTATTTCTGCCGAATGCAATAAAATTTCAGTTTACCAACTAGAGAATGTAAGAGAATTTTATGATCGCCTGGGTTATTCTCTAGCAGTCGATGGAGGAATATTTGAACATCTTCTTAAATCCTAAGTTCTAACAATTTAATAATTACCTAAATTAATAAGTTATTGAATATTATAATAATACTATAATTAACCTTGTAATTGATTACTTTATTTTACTTTAATTCCTATTAATTTATGTTTATAAATACATTTTAGGATTTCGATGTAGGAATAGGTTTTCCATGAGTTTTCAATAATAATAATAAAGAGCCTAAATAGGTAGAATTTCTAAAATGACAACTTCATTTGACAGTTTACTTTTACCTTGACCGGTGCTCATAAGTAAATAAAGGGCCATAAGAAGGAAATATTTAAAAATCGGCGATAACTCATAAACGAGCTAATCAAAAATATCTAAAGTTATTCTTCTTTTGAATGTGGGTTTAGTGCTCTTCAATAAACCTAAATAGAATTATTCTCTAAAATAATTAGGGGAGTCAATAATTGACCCCAAAATTTACATGGGATTTCCTATGTTCCGTCCGACGATGCAACCCGGTATAGGACCTCCAATGTCAAGACAAAAATTATCACAGATTAACAAAGGCCTCTATGACGCCTTATTTTCCATGGTACGGTACTTACCGATATATCCGCCACAGTATTTTCTTTAATAATCTTATCCTTGCGTTTGTCCAAGTTCATTCTGTCGGTACTCAGGGTAGATTCCAGTTTCCTTTTTGGTTTACTTAGTGGAAACTCTTCATTGATTAGTTCCAATATTCTCCCTTGAAATATAAAAAATATGTTACTAAAACTCAATACAAAAATCAATAAAAACAATACCTTTCTGTTGTGGACAAGTTCATAAGACTACCGGCACTTTGAGATCTTGTTGGTATGGCACCCTCGCCTTTGACAGCTTCCTCTGCCACCTCACCTGTCACTACTAGTTTCTCGCTTTCTAGCTGAGGCGCAGGAGGCGCTAGTGACAGTAATAAATCTAATCTAACCTGGAAACAAAAGAAATGTCACTTGTTGCTTAAAAATACATCGAGTGATCAAGTGAAAACAACTTTCCCATGTTTATTGTTAAAATCGTATTTCTAAAGTACTCGTTTCGAACTTAAAAGATATTACTATGCCTAGAATGACGCTGCGTTTATGAGATTAAGCAATACGTAACTAGG